GCCAGGATGCCCCTCTCGATCATGAGCAGCAGCCCGCTGGAGGCCAGGATCACGGCGAACATGAGCATGGAGGGCAGCAGCACCGCACCGCCCCCCGCGCCACCCCGCCGCCGCGCACGGCGTCAGCGCCCCGCCGCGCAGCCGGGCGTGCTGCGGCCCTCTCCGTGCTGCTCCTGTCCAGGCCGGCCTCGCCGCGAGCATCGCTGAGAGGAAAACAGAAGTTTTTTTTAAAGAACTCCATGACTGCGAGGCTGCCAGAGCCCTGGAACAGGCTGCCCGGAGAAGCTGTGGAGTCTCCTTCTGTAGCGATCTTCCAAACCCGCCTGGATGTGACTCTGTGCCCCGTGCTCTGGGTGTCCCTGCTGGAGCAGGGGGGTTGGACTAGATGATCTCTAGAGGTCCCTTCCAACCTCAACCATTCCGTGATCCTGTGACATCCCCACACCCACTTGGCCGTGGTCAGGTTCTTGTACCAGCTCCTGCAGCTCGAGGTGCCCTGGTGCACCAGCAGAACGGGAGCTCCTCTCTGAAACGTGCCTTTCCCAGGTCTAGCTCTGGTTTTAGGGAGGGACTTACCTACTGGTGAGCTAGAACAGCTCTGTAACCTTTGAGAGTGTTTCTTGTTCCCTCAGCTGCTTTCTAGCAGCTGTTTCTTTGGCCAGCAAGAGCCAGGTGGGCACGCAGGCTTCTCCTGTCATTCCCCATGCGAGTCAGGGTGCTTTAGCTCACACTTTTGGGGGGCAAGAAGTACTGTAGACGCTGAGGTGCTCAATAGCACCGATCTCCACCAGCAGACCTTGCAGATGGAGAGGGAAGGGCAGAGCCCAGGCTGGTTTTCACCCCAGAGCTCCACCTTTATAGGTCTCAGCAGCACAGGGGCACCAGGAGAAGAAGGAAGGGGAGCTCCTGCAGAGCCTCTGAATCAAACCTGGGAGGTGAGCATGGTACAGACGGCAGGAAAAAATTCAGACCTCTTTCCCTGCACTTTGAACTTGGATAACTTAAGGACAGCTTTGGTTTAGAAGCTCACGATCCTATCTTAAGACCACCGTGATGTGCTCTGCAATGCACTTGAAAAATGCTGTGCAGACAGGGCTGCTGGGGTTAGAGAATCACCAAACAGCACCCTGAGAGGTATTTAGTTTATAATCTACTGATAGCGGGAGAACGTGTGTCTCACAAGGCTACGTTATCTCTCTATCTGAAACGCAAAGGGTGCAGGGAGGCTAATCCTTGTCAACTTTGTGATTTTTCCGCACTAGTTTACATTCGAGAGAAGAGCATTTTGTCGGCGCTGCCAGTCCTGGTTTCCCCGCTCTCCAGGTGAGTGCAGAGGGCCGTGAATCTCAACGGGGCTGCAGCCCCTGCAGGCTGATCCGAGCCCCCTCCTGCTCCCAGATGCCTGGCGCTCCTCACTCCAGAGGCTGCAGAGGAGGAGGGTTGTCCTTGAGGGTCTCTGCATGGCGCCTCGTGGGACAGAAATGGTCACAGGAGCGTCGCCCACAAGCAGTTTGAGGAGCGCTGGTTTAGGTTGTTCCAGCTGAGTTGCGGCCGGCACATCCTGCACAGCTCAGGGAGAGTGGAAATGCAATAACTTACGGAATGTACTGGTTTCTAAGGCAGAATTGCTGGAGAATTTAGGTTGGAAAGTCCAGGGAAACCTGAGCAAGAACCCACCTGACATGAGGAACATAGGGCTAGTCTGCAAGCAGGGACACTAATGGAAGAGAAGAACAGGAGGAATTGAGATAGCATGGTTGGGATAGAGGATGACCAGCCTGCAGAAATTCCTGAGGGAGGAGAGAAGATAATCTGGACTGAAAAATTGCAGAGAAATTCCTTAGACAGGAGGTGGATGGTGGGGTGAGTGTCTCAGGAGGAAGAGTACCTGCAGACTTGGGCTTGAGCTAGCAATGAATTGGAAGAGCAATGGCAAAGGACAGAAAATAGGAGGAGAAATACATGGTGGGAAAAGGAGCATTGCTAGAACAGGAAAGAGAAATAAAGGCTATGTGTACAGGCTGTACAGTAGTGGCAGGGGCAGGAAATGTGGTGTTGCTGAAATGGGCATGCTTCATGGAAAAGGTGGAAAGAATAAAGAAAAATTGTCAGATACCCCAGGAATGGCACCCAAAGTTCAGCCTGAGCATACAGAGGTGGAGAGAGCTGTTGAACTGCCCCCACCTTGCCAGCATAAGGCTGCTCCTTTGAGATGCCACTGGCACGCGTGCCTCGGTGCCCACAAGCCAAATAACTGAGCTGCACATTCTCTCCTGGCTAGCAACTGGGCCACCTGATAAAACCCTTTTGCTCTTTCCAATTTTTTTTGGCGTTGCTCATTACAGGCCATGCAATGTGCAGCTGAGGCCGTGGGCAGCTCCGATGCTCCCGGCAAACTCCCCTGCACAAAAGCACAGTACCAAGTTCACCAGAGCTGCGGGCTCAGGAGCAGCCGGGGCCGAGCTGTGGGAGGCCACAAGCTCTGGGCATCTTCCTGGGACAGCCAGGGCTGACCCCTGCTTTGCAGTGACTGGGGGTAATAAGTGGCATATGGTATAATATGGTATATGGTATAATAAAATACCCTCTACCCTTGGTAGAGAGTAGTAAGAGGAGTGCACACAAAAGATGTTGTTATATTTCTTTATCCATCAGTGATGTCTCTTCAGCTGCCAGATTAAGAAGTCACATAGTTATGTTGAAAAGAGTGATCATATCTTCCCCAGCTTTCTTCCTTTCTTAGGAATATAGGTATTAGTGGTGAGTAAAAACAAGAGATTTTTCCAGTCGTCATTCCTGCAATATGGTTAGAGGTAGACAGATGGACAAAACCACCCAGAAACATGAAGATCACCTTATCTCTGCCTGGAGTTTCCATCTGGAAGGATGAGAACAGCTGAGAGGCCCTGTGGTGCTGCCTGTTATGGCAAGCAAAAGCCAAAACCACTCAGGGACCGGACTTAGATGCCTTGAAGCTTGTATGGATTCCCTTACAGATCCTTCAGGGTCCCCCACATCTCAAGCAAGTCCCACAGCCATTTCCATCAACATGAAATGTTGACCACCTAAAGCAGAGGATGTGAGAGGATTTACTGTAACATTTTTCACCAGCTATCCCTGACAAGGGGTCGGGTGAACTGAGACGATGGGTTTTAAAGTAAACATATGAACTTAATTTTAGAAGCACAACAGTGGTGGAGGACCTCACCTACTGCCCAGCCAAATCAGTCTGGCCTCGATTTTTGTCATAAAAATCTCAAAAATTCAAAAGATCAGATTTACTTTTTAACTAGTGGCCTGTTCAAAGATCACCATTTTCTATATTGGCATCTGTGTAAGGTGGCTGGATTCCTGTTACAGTTTAACAGGAGGCCCTTGGAGCAGATGGAGACCTTCAGATATGCCTGCCTATTTTCAGCACTGTCGCAAGTGCCATCTTGCATCTGCCAGTGCCTCAAAGTTCCCTCAAAGATTGGGAAAGGCCAGCTCACCTCGGGATGGGGAGCAGAAGCCTTATCCAGATGGAACATCACCCTTCAGTATGTGAGATAAGGGCCCAGACTGGAGTATTTTCTGCTAACAAACGTAACTGCAAGAGAGCAATTCTACATTAAACAATTAATTACATGCTTTAGCTCTAGAGATGCTCGTTTTTGTCTGTTTTTGTTGTTATTCCATTGAGGGGCCTTTCATTTAATTTTCAGCTGTCCTCAGTACAGGACTGAATTTATCACACCCTTTGCTCAGTAGCAGATTGCTGGAAGAGATAGGGGCAAAATGGGTCTTATCCCACCTTATACTGATTCAAAATGGGTTGGGAAAGAAGAACTGCCACACTCTGCAAATGTTATGTACTCATGACAGCTACATCCTGCTCCATATAGTTTTGACTCATCTGTTCTGCCTATTTGCCAGTATTTCTGGTGACTAACAGAAAATATCAGAGAAAGGCCTCACAAGTGGTTGAGGACAGAGTCAGCACAAGGCTTCTGCTGGACGAGCAGAAAGTGCCCTTTCAGCTTCAGGGAAGACTGGGCTGATTCACGTCTGGTGGCCATCACTGTTTTGAGGAGAAAATCTGCTCCCCCAGCCATGAAAGGAAGTTAATGTACCAGATATGTAATTTAGAAATATTATAAAAACTTGGTTAACAGCAATAGAAATTTGTTTGTCTTGAGAAAAAAAATACATTTCTGATTCAAAGTCCACTAAAGTCAATGGCAGTTGACGTCTGATGATTATCGATGGGTTTTGGGTGAGGTTTGATGTTATCCTCCTCTCATCTGTTTGGATACCATATCTTTAATCTTTTTTGTTAAAACCCATTGTTAAGTCTTGTGCTTTTCCACTTTCTGTAAACCAGAGAAAATCTTCCAACCATCACCAAATGAGTAATGAAAAC